ACTTGTATATTTCCCTGTGAGGAGGAACCAATAAAGGCATACCTGTTCTTCTGAGAGAGTACAGGGTGTAGGGTGAGAGAAAATTATTACTTCCTTCTAGAGTTGGAAAACAGATCAGAAATTGAGATCACAATACAGTATCCTTCCTAAAACATCACTCTGTTCTGGATAATCCTATAACAGAATTCAGCAAAACCCAATAGGATATTCTGCCCAGATTCCTCCAACCTCTCAACACACATTTCAAAAACGATTTCTAAATCTGGTGTATTTTACTCTCTAAAGGCTAAGTTGTAGAGACATCATTTCTACTTGGTCACCTGACATATCTTCCCTTTTACTCTTCTATTGAAATTCACTAATTTATTTATTATTGAAATTATTTAATCTGGTCATAGTTTTACATTTTGTCTTTTCCCAGTGGAATATTATATATTGAGAATATAGAGAACAATTAATAAGAGAAAGTTCCTTCCCATAAGAAAGTAACTTTTTAGTGGGACAAGACATAAAGTTATGAACAAAAGGTAAGATAACTACATTTAGAAGTAATTTAAAACAGGGCAATGGGATAGATAGCACAGATGAGATCACTTAGCTAATTTGTTCAGACTACATCTTAGAGCAGATGTTATCTGAGTTCACACCTAAGTGATAAGAAAGAATAACCACATACAGGCAAAGGGTTCTAGTTGGAGGGAGTAGCAAGTACAAAGGCCTAAAAGAAGCCTGAGCTTGAGTTCTATGGCTGTAGCTAAATAAGCAAGGAGAATGAGACAAAATGAGAGATAAAGTTGGAAACTAGCAGTAGCAAATAACCGGGGTTCATCATCTCATGACAAGGGAATCGAGGTCAAGGACACAAGAAGTGGGTTTAGGAGCTGAGGTTTAATAGCCAAAAGAAAGAGCAAGGAGAACAGCTCTCTTTCTTGTGAGAGAGAGGGGTTCCCAAATGGGACTTCCAGCTCACAGCGGAGTACACCAGTACACCAGATTTTATAGACAGGCTTATGAGGTGGTGTCTGATTTTCATAGGGCCCAAAGATTAGTTGAACCAGGTATGATATTTACATAACACACCAGAAGCTGGCTGCCCCATCCTAATCTTATTTTGCAAATGGAATCTTTGCCTGGCCTGCACCATGCTGCCTTCTCCTTACTGTATGAACGGCTGGCAAAGAGAAGAGAAGAAGGAGCCACCATTTTGAACATGCCTAGTCCCAAGTAGCCTTTTTCTATTGGCACAACTGACAGCATTCACCATGTAAGTGTCCAACTTGCTTGTCTATGCTTGCAGCTTGATTTTAGAAGCTGCTCTGTTAGAAAAGAAAATGACAAAAATTAATTCAAGATGTATTGGAGACTTAAATGTTAGACCTAAAACCATAAAAACCCTAGAAGAAAACCTAGGCAATACCATTCAGGACATAGGCATGGACAAGGACTCATGTCTGAAACACCAAAAGCAATGGCAACAAAAGCCATAATTGACAAATGGAAATCGGAGTAAACTAAAGAGCTTCTGCACAGCAAGAGAAACTACCAGCAGAGGGAACAGGCAACCTACAGAATGGGAGAAAATATTTGCAATCTACTCATCTGACAAAGGGCTAATATCCAGAACCAACAAAGAACTCAAACAAATTTACAAGAAAAAAATCAAACAACCCCATCAAAAAGTGGGCAAAGGATATGAACAGGCAATTCTCAAAAGAAGACATTTATGCAGCCAACAGACACATGAAAAAATGCTCATCATCACTAGCCATCGGAGAAATGGAAATCAAAACCACAATGAGATACCATCTCACACCGGTTAGTTAGCAATCATTAAAAAGTCAGGAAACAACAGGTGCTGGAGAGGTTGTGGAGAAATAGGAACACTTTTACACTGTTGGTGGGCCTGTAAACTAGTTCAACCATTGTGGAAGACAGTGTGGTGATTCCTCAATGATCTAGAAATACCATTTGACCCAGCCATCCCATTACTCGATATATACCCAAAAGATTATAACTCATGCTGCTATAAAGACACATGCACACATATGTTTATTGTGGCACTATTCACAATAGTAAAGACTTGGAACCAACCCAAATGTCCATCAATGACAGATTGGATTAAGAAAATGTGGCACATATACACCATGGAATACTATGCAGCCAGAAAAAGGATGAGTTAATGTCCTTTGTAGGGACATGGATGCAGCTGGAAACCATCATTCTGAGCAAACTATAATAAGGACAGAAAACCAAACACCGCATGTTGTCATTCATAGGTGGGAACTGAACAATGAGAACACTTGGACACAGGAAGGGGAACATCACACACCGGGCCTGTTGTCGGGTGGGGGGAAGTGGGAGGGATAGCATTGGGAGATATATCTAATGTAAATGATGAGTTAATGGGTGCAGCACACCAACATGGCACATGTATACACATATAACAAACCTGCACGTTGTGCACATGTACCCTAGAACATAAAGTATAATTTTAAAAAAAGAAAATGACTTGGTGGCTGCTTTTCATTAAAAGGAAAAAGTTACTAAGAACTCCCATACCCCCACTATCTGTCTAAATAATTTCTTAACTCCTATATCATCAGAGGTGAGGTGGAGTATAGTACGGGCTTGGATTTCATTTAAAAGGCACGTAGATACTTTGGTCATTATCATAATGTTCAATATAAAAGTTACAAATAATAACAGCTACCATTTATCTACCACCTACCAGATGCAAGGTATCCCAAAGAGGCAGATAATATTATTATTTCCAGGGAGAAAATGAGGAAATAAAAAGCATGGCAAAGTTACCTTCCTCAGCCAAGGTCACATAGCTAACAAGTACAGACATGGAAACTGAACTGAGAGTCTCTGCCTCTAGAATCCATGTTTCTAACCACTATGCTATACTAGCTCTGAACTCAAGATTTGGTTCTTTATATTTGAAGATTTATAGATTTAATGTATTTTTAAAACTGTCTATGTAAATGTAAAAAAAAATAAAATAAAAAAAGAGAGAAATAATATTAGTGCAATTCTTCCCATAGAAACTTTTGTCATTTTATTCTTGAGAATCTGAATGTTTTCATGTTCGTTACGTTTACTATTAGGGAAAGACTTAGTCCTGCTATCATTCATATTGTTCATGAAGTCTCTAAACGCTACTTGTTGAAGATTACTTCACTACATATTCTTTTAGCCCTGTTTACTTATAGTTATCCTACTTTTATTTTGTAAAAAGTAATTGAGTATTTTTAACAGCCATCTATTTACAGAGCTAAATTGCACCTTATTGATGGACTATACTATTGTCTTATCAAAAGCTGACCTGCTAAATATGTATGTTGCCCAGCCATTAGGCAGTACTCTGGGCTCAGATGTTTTCTTGTTATCTCCTCTGCACATTTAATTTACAAAAAATCCCACTGGAGAAATGTTCATTATCCCAAGAGAAAACTGTAAATATATTTGATTGTTCACAGCCTTCCAGTTTTGTTGCTTGAAACCATTTAATAATCTACATGAAGCATGGCCATTTCAAATTTTATATTCAAATTAAAGATGGGCATTAACTAATTTGTGATGCTTTTTCTTGTATACTAGCCTTGTGAATATACAACAAATTACTCTTTATTTTAGTTACTGGTTTGTTGTTGGCAATGTAAATCATAAAAAATTATCAGATGACTTATTAACTCTACCCTTATTCTTACTATATAACTCATCTAATGCAAATGAAAGTGAAAAATAAGTAAATTGCAAGGGAGCAATAAAGCCACCCCATGTGGTTCTATGTCCTATAAATCAGTTAGCAGATATGTTTGACATTTCTTATATTTTTAAAATACCAAAATAAATTGGGTGATAAGGGAAGTATTGATCAATGCTGCATGATATAGTCCAAAGTATTCTAACTGAAATACTAAAGAAAAGTTTATTAATTAATTGTCATTTACATAGACAATATTAAATTTCTTCATACTAGAATAATAAAAGTATCATTTTCATAGCCTTTGCATCATAGAAGTTTAGTAAATTTAAACTTACATATCTAAGGACCTACTAATTTACACGTTACATAAAATTAATTTTTGACAAGTTGAAGACCTAAAATGTAAATATCAAAACTTTAAAATGTTTAGAAAATAAAAGTGTGACCTAGAAAAACTGTGTCTTTAAGGTAGAAGAAGATTTCTGAAATAAGATATACAAGCAAAAATTCATCAATAATGAGTAGCATTTCTGACCTTCTAAGCACTCCTTGAAGTGTAGAAACCAAAAATCTGGCAACTACATTTTTCAGATTCTTCTGCCAACAAATATCTCTGCTTAGATTCTGCCAATTAAAGACAGACCTGTGAGAGCTGAAAGGTGAGATTGATGGAGAAGCCATTATTTTCCACCAGCAGCTACAGGCAGGAGTGTGTTGCTGGCAGGTGGTTGTATGTGGCAGCAGCTTCCCTGAACTGCTGAGTTTCCTGAAAGCCAGCAGTGGTCTTCTGACTTTCACACCCTTTGCATTTCCAAAATCATCAAGGCCTCAAATTTCTTGTTTTGAATCTTAGCTACACACAGTACATAAGTGGCTTCTGTTGTCCTGACCAAATCTTGGAGAAAAAAAAGGAACGGAACGGAATGGAAAGGAAAGGAAAGGAGAGGAGAGAGGAGGGGAGGGGAGGAGAGGGGAGAAGGAAGGGAAGAAGGACGGGAAGAAGGAAGGGAAGAAGAAAGGAAAGGAAGAAGGAAAGGAAAAAGGAAAATCTACAGTGTCCCAATAGAAAGGGACACTGTAAACAAAGGTGAAACATTTGAAAAGGAGGTATTTATACAATGGAAAACATACACTCTCTAGAAAAAAAATCCAGAAATCAATAAGGGAAAAAAAAAAAAAAAAAAAAAAAAGGCCTAAAAGAAAACCATGGACTAAAACAAATTTCACAGCAGAGGGAAGTTCAGCAGAATAAAAAATGCTTAACTTGATAGGTATTAAGAAATGAAACATTCTTTTTTTTTAGTTTATAAGTGTGATGATTAGGTTTTCACACTTGTGTGAGATGTGCCTTCCTCAAACCTTGTTACAATATCTGCACATTGCCCATCGGACATGAAAGAAAAAAGAAATGAAAATGGAAACCCAAATAAGATGCTATGACACCGTAGCAGAGAAAATAAAAATTAGAAAGCTGTGCAACACCAAGTACTTATGACAATTTGCAGAAATTGAAACTTATAAACTTGGGGAATGTAAATTGGTAGTCACCTAGAAGAGTAATTTGGCAATATCTAATAAAATTCAATTTCTGTATATATTTAGATTACATCAACTATAGATTTAGGCCAAGTGCCAAATGCTGATTGATTTTGACCAAGTTAATATTCAGTCAAAGATGAACATCACCAACCTAGAATGTGGTACAAATATATGATGTACAAGACACAAACTTAGCACATTTAATATTACTTACTAGTTTATGTTTAACAGATTAAAATTTAGGACAGTCTGTCAGTAACATATTTTCTAGTAAGAACTTTATATGTAGTACTAAAAGCATCCACAGTTTTTTAAAAAAAGAATCTTTTATCTTAACTCCTGAAAGCAATCGGAAATGCATAGTAATAATTTCCACAAGCTTTTTTGCTTAAATACTTAACTTCCATAAACTGAAAACTAGAAGGGATTGTCTTCTTAAAGCATTCTTCTAAAGTTGTAGCTTCAAAGTTTGATTTTTTAATAGTTTGATTAGTGAGAAATACATGGTGTATCAAATATGTTTTTATTAGCTCTATTAATGAGAAAAAAGTATAACTGTTCTTCAGCATTTTTTTCTTTATTCCCTTAATATTCTTTATTATGTCTCAATCACAAAGGATTATCGCAGCTGTTGTTTGTTATCTTGAAGTATTTCCTGTTTGTAAATTTTGAGGTGGTAAAGTTGACATTCTGCTTTAAATACCTCTTCATTTAAATATAAAGAATTTTAAAATAGGATGTTTTCTTGCAAGACTTATGGCCAAAATGGAATTTAATCACCAAATATTAAATATAGTTCCCAAAAATTATTCTGCCTAATATTGTGAATTTAGTTCACCAACAATGCTATAGAGATTAAAATTATTGCAGAATAATGTAATATTCATTTGTCTCCTTGCATTATATCAACTTTTATTAACATATATGGTTTCGGCAAGCATATTTCTCTAACGTATTTAGCTAACATACTTTCCCAATTTCCTTTTTAACAATCTATTTCTTTTTTATATAGCAATTTGGAAGTCTTTACTATTGACGCATAAAACTAACATATCTTCATTGACCATTAAATTCTCTGAAATTTAACTTACAAAATATATATTTATATTTTAACTGAATTTTTTTAAAAGAGCAAGTAAAAGTCTTTTTAAGTTACATAAAATATATTTTATTACATTTAAAAATGAATTTTCACATGTCACTTTTATTTTTAAATGATGTAAATTATTTGTATTACTGGTAGTGTTTTGCTAGTAAGGTATGACATTACTCTATGTGAACACATAGTTATTCATAAACAAATTTAAAGAAATTATATTGAGGTCAAAATTATACTAAGTATCTTTTAGTAAGCCAAGACAGAAGTTAACTAATGGATTAGGAGATTTTGGTTGAATCTTGAGGACAAAATGAACTTCAGGTCTTTAAATGGTGCATGCCCTATAAAAACACATGTACATGTGCAAAAGGAGACATAAAAGTATAGCATTTTCATAGCAGTAAAAAATTGGAAGGAATATAAATGCTGCAAAATAAATTAGTTTGGGAATATGTCACCAATGGAATACCACAGAGTAGTTAAAATAAATAAAATGTGTGTGCGTGTGTGTGCGTGCATGCGTGTGCATGCATGGGTATATAATTATAAAGATAAAATGCAGTATCGGGCAATAAATATGAAGCAACGGAATTTTTAAAACCATTATATTATTTAAAAAATGTGTGAACATTTGCAAAACACTGTATGTTGCTCATCGATGTATAGATATGTAATAAAAATATATGTGCAAGAATAATAAACTCAATTAGAATATTTGCTAGCTGTCAGTGGGGAAAAAACAGAAAGAGACTGGGGAAGAATACAAAAGAATCTTTAACTTCTTTTGTAATAATAATAATGTGAAAATGATTTAATATGAATGAAAATCTGAATATTAATCTGAATTAACATTGATATGAATCTGACACAACTATGATACAAAAATAGAATCTGATAGAGCTAGTAGATGAATTTGTTGTTATCCTTTTTTGTAGATTTCAAATAATAACTTACAAATAAATTAGATATCTTTGGAGACATATGCTACATGGTGGCAGGAAAGGAATGAAATCTCAGTTTAAGGTATTCAGAAAATCAAAAAGATCTGGGTAATGAGGATTATCAGTTCATTTGTGTTCTAGAAATTTTCATTTCATCAGAGTATAAAATTTCACAAGCAGTGGTGAATATTTATAACATATATGATTTTTCATACACATCTTTATTTAATTGTCAGTTTCAAGTATTTGAGTTTTTCAATGAAAAGACTAGCAGCTGAATGTTTCCATAAAGATAAGACATTTCTGCATATTTATGAATAAGCAACAATAATTCCACCAATTTGAACTAAATTATGTTGTGCTTTGTAGCTTAGATACTATTGTCCATGTGCATTTTCAGCTATAATGCAAAATATTATAAATTATCTTAATGTTCAAAGAATATATTCATTTTACCTCATCACCAGCAATTCACAACCACATTTACAGAAAATTCAAGATTTAAGGAAGGATGAATTTGGCAATAAACCTTGAAAACAGAGCTTAATTTCCATTTTTATTTTGAGAAATGATATATGGTAAAACTCAAAATACATTGCATCTTGAATGATAAACTGAATATTATGTCTGCTAGAAGAAATGCAAACTTGTAATTTTTAAGCAAAGACATTTTAAATGTAATATTAAGTATGCAGATCCATGCAAAGTAATATGTCCTGAAATTTTAAAGTTACTACTTCTGCTGTTTCTTCTGTGTTTGAGAGATTGACCTGGTTGACTATTTTTTCTTTACATTTGATTATATATGTCATGATTTCACTTAATGACTGCTAACCTCTTTATGGCTATGTCTCTGAAGCGATTTGCATGTTCACCCAGATGCGGCTGTCATAAATTGAGACATTCAGGAAATTCTTGAAACTGTTTTTAAAAATTGTCTCTCAAATTCCAGTTTCTTATCAGCATTGCTTTATTTTTCAGTTGTGTCCTAGAAATACTTGTGTCTAAGAATCCACATTCACTAATGAACATTATTGAGCATTACTGAACATCTAACCTGTGCCAGGATTTGTGCTAGATAGGTACTGTGAGAGGGAGGGGGAAAAAAGGAAAGAATTTCAACTATACGAAAACAAGGAAAATAAACAAATCATTGCAAATGAATTCAAATGTACAAATAATTCTATGGTTTAACAGAGGAGGAAGTGACTAAGACCCCTTAACAGAGACTAGGAAAGACTCCTAATGTTCTCTGAGAGATAATGTTTCTCTCAAATCACAGAAATAATAGGATAAACTTAGTTCTTAGAACTATACAAATTCTTGTGACTTTATGTTGTGACAATCTAGAAAGTCAATGATGCAAATTAGTGATTTAACACAAGTGAGCTAATATACACTTTTTTGCTTTCTAATTCAAATCTAGATTAATTTGGTCAAGAATCTATGTCTATAAAAGTGAGGTAGATCCCTTTTTGATCACCATATAATTTAGAACACAAGAAAAAGTTTTTTCTCCACATTTTTGTCTTAAGTGATTTTCCTCATTCATAAAACTATCTAGAATATTCTTAAAGGTTTTCTAATCTCAGAAGTTGTAACTGATATAAGTTTTCACCTAATTGTCCTTGGTGCATTTATGACATCATTTACCCTGCATTTTTATATTTTGTAAAATATTAAAAACAGAAGAAACTATATAGCTAGGGCAGCTTAGATTTTGATTTATTCATACCGGGTTTGGTTTATCTTTTGAAGTGTCTTTTTCTAGTTCCTTCAGAATCTTAATCATGTTGTGTTGTGACTGTTGGGGTTTTTAGCATTCACCTTTATTAATTTTACCTTGAATATGCAAATGAGATATTCAGGATGAAGGTAGATCCTTATTAAGTAATATAATGATGATGATGATGTCTGTGTCAGCTCTCCTTTTACCCAGTCCTTACTCCTGTGGCAACACGATGAATACCTAACGAAAAAATCTACAGAAGTGGCTAGGGACTTCATAGACAAAGGAAGAAAAGTAAATGAGTTTATTCTGCTGCTTTCTCCCTCTCCTCTCCTGGAAGGTGGGAGAAAAAAGTATGCTCCTTGGAGACTATATGAAAAGGATCAGGCATTTTTACTCTAACCTTTTGTAATGTAAATGTACCTATCTAAGGGACATATTAATCTCCCATATTTCCAACTTTTATAACCTAGAGATTTCTGTAAATTTCTGGGCCTCTTTCTTCATTTAAATGTAAACATAAACCTTCCTCACAGTTAAGTAAATTTCTCTGGAGTTTTCTCACTATTCATACAGTTGAAAATTAACTTCTCAAGTGTTGCTGTTAGCCCAGGATCTCAGTTTTTAGCAAATTCATTCAGAAAGCCCTAACCCTGTAGAAACACAAAAATATTATCTCTACATCTCAGAATGACAACATGTGGGAAGCCTCTATTTTTTTTCTATTTTTTTCCTGTGAGAATTTCTAAGAATTATGCTTTTTCTGGAGAAAGTAGAATGTAAAAATTTAGAGTTCATCAAGCTGATTAGTATATTAGCTCAATAAAGTATATTTTAAATATGAGAGTATTCACTTTCTTCTAAGGTTATACAACTAAAGCAGTCTGGTTATATTTGCAATTGACATATTTATTACTTGGCTAGTTATTATTTCACATATTTTGTCTTAATTTTAAAATTTTGATGATATGATCTTAGTAGTTATTTGATCAGTGATGCAAAACCCAATTCTCTGCTCACAACCCTTCTGACACCATATATGTATGTTTCTTCCTCACACTAACCAATTATCCAACTCCCTGGTA